ATGCATGAACGGGAAGAAAGATGTGGACCCTAGTTCAAAATGACTTCATGGCTTGCCAGGGTACACGCGACTATGGTGAACCCTGCTATGATGGATACGACGGCAAGGTCTGATGGGCATCAACGGACGGGAGAAGAAAGTGGACGAACATCTTTAACGTCTTCGTCACCCACCGTCAAGCGCGCATCTCATTCCCCACCATGTGATGCTGCCAAGTGTACATGCGATATCTCCAGCTTCCCACTGACAACACGCATTATGCCTGTTGCCTTGTGGAAGGAACAGCACCGTGACGCTGAACGAGTGCAACGCGCACGTCCGCATGGGGATTTGAGTACGTCGGCCGAATCTGTGGAGATTCGACAACGAAGACGGACCGTGTAGAGGAAAAATGCCAACCTCGCACGGACGCGTCGACACCACGCATCAAATTTGAAGTGTGCAGGACGACACATCGCGCTTGTGCCTGCCACCACTCGTCCAACGCGGTCATGCAACGTCCAAATTGGTCGGCGACATTCACCTTTCCAGCTGGTGGCTCCGATTGAAGAAGTGGTGCGTCCATCGCCCGATCCTCCCCTCCGTGTGGAATTAGAACCCGGGACGACAGAATCTGGGTTGATCTATATCACGACGACCTTTCGCTCCCATGACATCCGAGTAAAGCAGCCCCCGTGACGTTTTCGCCAAGCAGGACGCGTCACGACCATGGCGAGCTGCAAATGGGGCCACGAATCGCTTTGCTGTTCCAAAACTGGAGCGCCATGTGCACTTGCTTGTCCACGCTCTTCTTGTCGTCGTCAAGAGCCACGATGAATTGCAGCAGCTTTTCAGCCACACCATCAAACACCCGGCCTTCGATGCACCCGGCGTCGTGAGCCATTCCCACTTGATGCTCGACCTGGACAAACCCACAAAATGAAATACATGGCAAAGCGTCGATGGCGTACGATGGCGCCGGTGAGACGTGCTATGTGCGACAAGCAAGGCGCCATGAGGACTTGGTTGACGAGCGATCGTCGGTGGCTCGTGCGAGCCGTCCCTTGCACAACAACGTCGCGCAACGCGCGGAGCCTAATTTCGAGAGGGTCAGACTCGCTTCTTCAGACGTATTCAAAGTACCGGGCCATGGAGTGGTTGAGCAAGCGCTGGCACGCTACCAAGGGTCAGAGTTAAGCGGCGCGGCCACGCCGTGCTTGGGATATACCGTCTAGCACAGCCAACATGCACGCGGACGCGGGAAGTGCGTGGAAAGTGATCAAGTTGAGACGAGGAAGCTCAAGAGATCGCGTCGTCGAGGGCTGGATGTCTCTACTTGAGCATCAGCATCTCAACAAGCGATCGCTTGTGAGCGAGAACTAGCACCTGGATCGATGGTTCAAGTATCGAGAGGCGGAACCATGATTTGTGGCGAGCGATACCGACAATTTCTCAAGCAATGCGAGCAATGTGGCGACGGCATCTGGAATCGAGTCGAACTGGGTCGTCGATCCGTCCCAGGCCAACGTTGCTGTCGACAGCATACGGCTCCGTTTGTCCGTGAATTGGATGGCTAGGACCGAGTGTCGATCATGAGAAATGAGTAGTTTCGACGCACTTGCTGCAGCGCTGATTGAGGCTGGATTCATGGCTGTCCACTCCCAAATTGCTTGGTCAGCATGTGCCGGGGATGGCGACGCCGTGTACGAGAAAGCCTACTCGGGCACGGATGACGCCACTCGAGATTGTAAATGTGAGGAATGCCGTACTGGCTGCATGTCGATCCAAGTCGTCAGAGTCGCTTCGAATTGCTCTAGCGACTGCAGCACCATGTTGTATGGGTGAAATCTGCACTCGTACGAGTCCAGAGGGCTTCCCGTGTAAAGCAAAGAGCCCGGGACCAAGATCTATTGCCTTCGTGAGTGAAAAACTCTTTGGAGAGCATGCCACATGGGTAGATAGATGGTCCTGTCACCTCCACAAGCACAGCCAAGACCAACCCAGCGCACACATCCAACGATGTCATGTCGGGGGAAGTGTAACCGGGCGAGGCATGAAGCGTATCCTATGTGCCCACGTCAGCAACACACCATCGAGGAACGCTACAAGAGCTGGCCCAGCCGCGTACTAAAGAGAGTTCTCCGTGGCACAACTTGGCTCGGATGTTGGGACCGGCCGCAGCCATAAACAGGTCAAGGCACGCCGCCAAGACACTGTGGGGAAGCGACTCGTACAAGCGATTGTGCATTTCGTCCTTGTCGGCGTTTGGCTTCAACAAAGCGCGGTGAAGGACCAGGGGTTGCTGCACGGCAGGCTGCACCGACGTACCAAAAACAATTCTCTTGCGAGCAGTACTTGGTGCTGGTGGCGCTGGCCAAACCCGTCCAGTGTCGAGTAATATTGTTTCAGCTGAGCAAATTGCATGGCAGTGGGCACGGCTGGGGCGTTCTGGACCACGAATTCTATTCGACAGAATGGAGCGTCACGTTTGTAAAACTCGGCAACGATGCGCGGCGTGGGCAATGCCGAAGCCAGCACGTCATGTACCACATCGAACGAGATGTTCCAATACTGGGATGGCGAGAAACAAGCTCCACAGCGACCGCCCCGACGCAAATGCAGCCATGGCTTCGTGAAGGAGCCCCCATCGGCTCTTGACCACCATTGCATACGCTACACAGACCCATGAGTCAGCACACCGGCATCGATGCTACGCCACAGATGATGAGGCGTCAAACAAGGAGTACCCAGTGACCCAAACGATTCACTTTAGCGCTAGGAACAAACGAATAACATACATGGGCACATATCTTTGGTTGGGGATGCCGGTAGGGCAATGTCGGAGAAGGTTGCCCAAGTCCATTGGACCCGCGCGGGGTGCATGGACGGCAGGTGCTGAGTCCGTTGCTCAGCAACGCGGCGGCAGCCATCACGTTGCAGGCATGGATCGGCGAGAAGCACCAACAGCAACGAATTGAGGCATCCAGGAAGCTCAAAGGGAGCAAGGAATCCATGCCACTACGTAGCAACTCAGCATCACGACATCGTCGACACGTCCAGACATTCACCAACACCACCATACAATGAATCCTTGCAAGTAGCGTGCTGGGGTTCGTACGTACGACGAGGTTGCGGATATTCAGGCCGGACGGAAGGAACAGAACATGGAGCACTTGCATGTACCCTCGGGGCAAGTGCTTGTGGAGCGTTGGAGAGTGCAGGAGGTCGCGCAGGATCATGTTGCTCTTCTGTCCTTTGTGTAGAGCCGCGTATTGATCGTACAGAGCTCGCTCGAGAATTGTGACGAGGATGGTGAACGATGCGTAGAAATGACCATGGCGTAGTTGATCGACGACGAAGGGGACGACCGATGCATGCGTCAAGCCTGGATGTTCACAGGGCTGGATTCAGCACTCACGTTGTTCCGCCTAATATCAGAACGTACTGCTATGGATGGTGACCTCAACGGAATCGTGTTCCATAGCTGCATGGACTGCATGGGCAAGTGTCCACACACAGTCGATCCCTCGAAACGACACTCCAGTGGACAACTCGTCGTCCATCCATTGCGCAAGGACGTCCCAGTTCAAGGGAAACATGGTCGTATTGCCTTCATATCGAGGAAGCGACGGTGCATGCTCCGCGCGGCAGAAGTAGCCCATGACCCGCTCATGGACTTCTGGCGCGAGTGCCGGTCGAAAAAACACCATCGAATATGTCAAGCTTAACATATAGAATTTAACATTACATTCATTACCACATATTTGATAAAACCTGTAACTATTTGGATAAAACCATGCTCTGATATGACAAATCAGAGGTTTTAAGCCAACTTGTCGAGTTCAACCCACTGCCACACACTTTAACGTATCTGAATAAACGCAGATTGAGAAACTCTATAATTGGATGTCATTAATTTTGGACGGTAATGAAGTCCGCACCACAAAAGCCACTCAACCCATTCAGTGACTGCCGCCAACATGTTGTCGCGCTCGTTGTTCCTTCGCCGCAGCTTTGCCACGGCCGTGCGCTACCATGCGCAAGGAGTGCCCCAGGAAGTCCTCAAGTAAGTAGGCGATGAAGACGATGCGTCTCACTCGAGCTGGATAGGGTTGAAGCCGCGCCGGCCGCGACCGCCGCATTGCGAGCTGGTGAAGTCGCGCTCAAGTTTTTGGCGGCGCCAATTAACCCTGCCGACTTACACATGATCCGTGGCGGCTACGGTATCAAGCCTACGTTGCCCGCTGTCGGTGGTAACGAAGGTGTGGCGCGCGTTACAGCCGTTGGCAGCGGCGTCACTGGTCTCAAGATCGGCGACCGCGTCATCCCAGCTGTCGCCGGCTTTGGTACCTGGCGCACGGACGCCGTGGCCAAGGAAGCTGACTTGTTGGCTGTGTCCGACAAGATTCCTGTTGAATACGCCGCGACTCTGGCGGTCAACCCTGCCACGGCCTACCGCATGTTGGCTGACTTTGCCACCCTCAAAAGCGGCGATGTGGTGATCCAGAATGCAGCCAACTCGGCTGTCGGCCAAGCTGTCATCCAACTCGCGGCGTTGCGCGGTATCAAAACCATCAACATCATCCGCGACGACGAACAGTACGCCGAGACGGTTGAGCACCTCAAAGGTCTCGGCGCCACGATTGTCATGACCGACGACTACTTGGGGTCCGCGGACTTCAAGCGCTTGATTGCCGACTTGCCGGCCCCCAAACTCGCGCTCAACGGCGTCGGCGGTGCCAGCTCGCTTCAAATCACCAAGGCATTGGCCAAAGGCGGCGTGTCTGTCACGTATGGTGGTCAGTCCCACGAACCTGTGCTCGTCTCGACGACGGCGCTCATCTTCCAAGACGTGTCTGTGCGCGGCTTCTGGCTCTCGGAGTGGTCCAAAAATGCTCCCGTCGACGAGCGAAAGGCCATGTTGGCGGAACTCGCCACGTTGTTCGAACAAGGCAAGCTCCGCTCGTGGGTTGAAACGTACCCGTTGGCCAACTTTGACCAGGCCCTGGACGCCGTCGTCCACCGATTGACCAAGCGTAAAGTCGTGCTCCTCTTGGAATAGAATCGCTTCATAATGCCAGTGCGTATTCCGCGATGGGTTGTCTTGAATCCGTTCCATCCCAACCAGCGCCATGCGACCCCTACGCAGGCACGACGCAAACGAGGGCAGTAGCACCTCGACAATAGTCTCACGAGGTATTTGAACTTGTCAGCCGAATGATGGACGACCTGCTGGCCCAGCAACGCACGCTGGCCCAAAATACTAGGCAGGGTGTAGAGCCTATCGATCTTACGGCAGGACGGGTAGCTTCCCCGCTGGCTTAATCAACATGCTGGCTAACTTGGAACGAACGCCGTGCGCGTTGATCAGGGTCGACGTCTCCGACTCGACCCGATCCAGAGGCAAGTTCGTACACTCGACCATGAGGACGTTGACGGCGGCAGCGGGACGGCTAGGATCGCATCTTCGAATGACACGGCGAACCGCATCCAAACTGATCATGCCGTTGTTGTCTGGTCCCGCACAGCGCTCCTCTACTTGGAGCTCGCGCTAACAGCACCACAGGATGACGCACACCGCCTTCTCAATCATCAAGGAAGCGATGAAGGGTGGCGCACCAGCAGAGAACGCTTGAGAGTTGTTAGTTCGTCCAGGTGCTGACTGCGGATGCATTCGCAAAACGTAGACTGGTTCCCATTGCGGTCTTGTTCCAGCAGGGTTGTGTAGTTCAAGTGCGGTTGGCCCTGAGCGGACGTCCAGTGAGTCGTGCATTGTGGACATGACTCCACCTTGGCTTCCATGAGCAATGCCCGACTCAACGCCGCCATCGACTCGTCGCTCTTCCATGGGAACAAAATGTGGAGCTCGCGCAGCGCGGGGCCGACGGCAACGTACCTACAACAAACACTTCAGCGTCGGTGCCGTCGCAGCCACGAAATGCACGTGCCCTCTTCGTTTGGACGTATCTGACTCGTTCTTGTCGAGCGCGACAAAGGCTTCGTACACTGCGTACACGACTACGACGACTGTGAAGGGCAGCACGCGTGGAGCGCACAACGATAACCTCGCAGCTGGTCGGCTCGGGCGTCTTCTGGGATATCGCCGTCCAAGATCAGCTGAAAGATTCGGCACTCGCTGTCGTACTGGTACTGCTCCAGTGCGGCACAGAGGTTGTAGGCGCCTGGGGGTACACCGTTAGTTGCCATGGATCCTCCAAGGATGTTGCTGGTGATGACAGGGGCGTCGAATGGGATTTTGAGGGGGGAGGTCGTACACTCAATCGCGTCTGTACGGACGGGAAATTTCTTGGTCAAGTACGTGTGAAAGTACTGTCGGAGCGGGATACAGCACGGGGATGCCGTAGCCCCGGCGGTCGGCGGCACTGTCGTCGACACGGACGACTTGCGCGCGGTGGTCATCCTTTGACTGTTGCTGCTACCATTCGTCGTACGTCGGGCGTTGGTTCCATGTGGCGGGGGTGGATCTCGGACAATGAGCTTTTCAGCTGTCGCCTTTTGCAGCCACACATCGCTGCATGCGTGGTGGGTCCGTGCGGGTGGGTCGAGCCGACGCACCTGATGATCCGTTCGGTGTCCCGTTTCGAGTAAAATTTGTTTCGGACGTGGCCTTCGTATTGCAAGTAGTCCGGGACGGCGTCGCCCGTCCCCCGACCGACAAAGTAGTCGCCAATGTCCGGCAGGACGTCCACACGTTCATTGCGCTCGTCGGGAATCAAACCCGTGATGAAGACACTAGTTGCGGGGGTGTCGGTCGTTGTGGTTGCTGGGGTGGTAGGGGGCTTGGCGGGCGACGATGACACAGGTTGGGGTGCCACGGCAGCATTGCAGCACATTTTCCAAGCTAACAGCATCGTAGGGGCGTCAGGCAGGCACAGATCGATCTCGCACGTCAAGACATGCATCGAAACATTTGGCACGACCTACACCCGTCTCCACGATCGAGACACCGTCTCATTACCTTGGACGAGCGCTGAGATGCTTGTGATCGCTGGCTCGGTCGGGAGCACACAGTCTGGGACACTCGTCTGCCATTCCGCCACCACCTTTGCCACGAAAGTTGCTTCGTCGAACACGGGGACCTTGTGCGGCGGCTACACAACCCGCGGCACAAAGGTACGTGGGCTCTGCTGTCGAGATATGACAGGACCGCCCGAAGTCGAACCTTTTCATGTGCGACTCGATAGGCCATCAAGTCTTGAACTTCGCGGGTCAAGTGCTCAATTGTTCGCCGGTCTGCATTTACGTCGATCCCTCCAGCCTTGTCCTCCAACGTCACAATCGAATTCCGTAGCTCTAACGACGTTGGGCGACCGTGAATCTGGCGTTGTCCACACGACAGTGCGCTGGGTTTGGATGTCCTACCGAGGATCTCGTCTTGCGCGCGGGCGTATTTGGCCGTGAGGCTGTGCACGGTCGCATGGAGATCGCTCATCTACAGCCGCCCATGCTTCGTGAAACACATGGACAACGACGACGTGGAATCGCGCGTACGTGGGAGTCGTGTTCTTTTTGGCGGTCGTCCTGGCGCATCATTGTGTGCAGCAGCGCTTGGTTGGTCGCCATGAGATCTGCCACTTTGGCCACAGCGTCGCTCACTTCGGTCGTGAGTTTGGACGTGGTGTCGGTGAGAGTCGCGTTCGCTGCAGCATACGCCTAGAAGACATCAGCGACCGATTCTTGGCGGGGTTATTCGACGGGGTCGGGGCTTACCGCGAGCGTGGCTTGCGTCGACTTGAGTTGCTTCTTCCACTCTTTGACTAGAGCAACATTGAACGACGAGACATCGACCTCCACGAACAAAGAGGAGCGCCCTCGCCATGTCTGCCCACCTTTCATCTTGTTGACGAGATTGTGTTCGGCGATGGCTTGCTGGGCTTCTTGCTCCATCGTTTGGATCGTCGCTTCGTACTGCGGGATCATACTCACCTGCCACAATCACCATGACGACGACGTTGACAAAATGGGCGGTGGCGCTCGCTCGTCGGTCGTACCCGCAGCTCGTACATGTCGAGTAGCCCTGCCGCAAACCAAACAACGGGGTTTGAACCAACGGTCGTGGGAATCGAAAGCACGCGTTGACGTACCTTCGTACTCTTGTTTGATGGCCAGCAACAGCGGCTTGTATGTTTTGAAGTCGTCGATAAGGCGGAGAAAGCACTCTCGGAATACCTGTCGAAGCGACAGCACCATGATGGACCTTCGCCGCGAATCGATCTAGGTCTGTCTGTACCTGCAACCGCGCCAGACGAGGGGGAAGCGACGAATTGTCGCCGACACAGGCGGGGGAAGGGGACATGCCCAGCACGTTCAATTCGCGCACGACAAACGCTTCCAAGTGCTGCAAGAACGCTGGTTTAGCCGGCTGTGCGCCGCGTTGGTCGTCTTTGTGTCGCCTGTGCTTCACGTCGTGGTCCTGCTCATGACCAATGTCAGACTGTTATGTCTGGGGTGATGAGGAGTCGTTGCAACCGTGTCTTGGTGTGGCTTGCCTCGGCCACTAGCCCCCAATGGCCAGCTCTCAAGCTCGCCCCTTGGTACGTCCGCGGCCACCGACGTCGATACCCTGATGGAGAGGAAGATCACCCACGCGCCAAGCGAGTTGCCAAACAACGTACAAAGACTTGTCCACGACTGTGGGGTCGCGTGAAGTCGACCGAACAAAGTAATGCGGTACGACGGGGGCTTTGGCTTTGGGCTTGGATCTTGCCGCCGACGGTTTGGCGTGCCGAGGGGTGGTCGGCAAGAGCGGGAGCATGTGGTTGTTGGACTGGTCGATGGGAGGAAGCAGTGGTGCGGGTGGATCCGCCGCAGACTTTGTACTGCGACCATACTTGGTCAGGATGTCCATAATTTCCATGGCCAACGTGGAATTCAACGGCGCGGCGGTGGCCACGCGATGGGATAACCGACAGGACGAATTGAGTAACTGTCAAGACGGCAGATGTACACACAGCACAAAGCGCATCGTCCATTTCCCCATGCGCGCCGCGCATTCCACACGCACAGCTTCGACGGCTCTGAGGGTATTATACGACGTAGTCTGCAAGGAAAAGCCAGAACAGAGGCTACGATGTGAAGCACTGGAAATTATGGGATGGCTCCTGGCGACCAGGTCAACCAATCATGACAATAGAATCGCCTTTCTTGGACGTCACAGTGCGGCACCACAGCACCGCGTGGGGCTCCATCGAGCGACACTCCGTTGGCCAGCCAAAGTCCTTCCCGTGTCAATCCAACTGAAGAGCTCCCGCACTTCCAAGTCTATGAGTGGCGCTTCCCTAACAAAATGGTTGAGCCCGCGAGCCAACCT